TTTAAAGAATAGCTATTTTCACATCTTTTCCATATTCTGAGTTGGGTAGTTTCTATAGTCTGAATGTCCCTGCCAAAATTTACATAGTGCAGTTTACTGGTCATTGTTATGGTGTTAAGAGGTATAGGTTCATCCCGTGAGGCCAGCGCTCTGTGGCATGGGCGGGGTGATGACGCTCTTTGACAAGAAGCACTGGAGACAAGTTTCGGTGAACATGTCTGCTTTATTAACGACCATGCACACTCTTTAAAGGGCAGGCAGAGGGGTGTAGCTAATTCAGGGCAACACTAATTCTATAACATAGAACCGATATCGGTGCCTCTATGCTTCTCCAATCAGCTTGAAGATCACATAGCTAGGATAGCTTTCCAGGTGGTCCTAATGGGCCTGGGCCACACCCGGGAGCTGCTTACGTAATTGACAGGGGTGGGGGGAAACATGCCTGGGGCTCCTGCCCCCTGCCAACAGTCAGACTAACTGCATGGGCAAGGCAGGCAGTCTCACAGGATCACCCACAAAGAGGTGGTACCTTTAACAGGTGAGTAGGTCTCCAGGGCTCCATTTTCATAAATGGAACAATGTCACTATCATGGGAGGGGGACAAGTGTTCCAGAAGTGGCTTTGTATAAAACCTTTCTGTTTCTCCCTTTCTCTCTCTTGCCTTCCCTTTTGCCTTCTACAATATAATGATGCAATAAGAAGACCCTCACCAGACGTGGCCCTTCAACTTCCCAGCCTCCAGAACTGTGAGTAATAAACTTCTTTTCTTTGTAAATTACACAGTTTACAGTATTCAACTATAACAACAGAAAACAGACCCAGACAGTGGTCAAACAGGATTTATACATAGGTCATTAGTGGGCATCTTATTGAGTGATGAAGAATTCCCTCTAGAGGACTTCAGCTGAGCAGATATGTGACGCCAAGACGGGAAGAAGGGAGGAGGAACTACAGCAATGTCCAACCTGTTCTCCCCAGCACTTCCTGAGGTGGGGAGACCTAAGACTCTACAAATGGAAATGCTTATCGGCATTCATTTCCCAGGAAACATGGCTCTGACCTGAAAAACCCTTAGTGACCACGCTCAGGATTCTAATAGCCCTGACCACACAGCAGGCGACGGCCACTCAGTAGAGAAGGGATCTTGAACAATCCCAGTTATCTGAGACTCCCAGGGAGCCGAGAGCTGAGGCTAAAATTAATTCCTCAAGCTCAACTCACCTTTCACCTCCCCTTCCTTGTCCTCGCCACTGCATTGTGTAAAGACAGCAATCAGAGGCTTTAGAGGGAACATTTGTCAATGCCTGGATGTTAGCTCTGGGCTGATTCTTCTTTTATTTCCCTCTCCTGTTTCTTAGCCTTTCTATTTTCAGGTTCAAAGAGAGAAGCTGCTTTTGAGTTCTATCTCCCAGAATTAAGTGATATAAGATTCTGATCGCAACAGAACTATTTTCATTTGGGATCCTTCCTGATTCACAAAAAGCCAATGCTACCTGCCCTGCACTCAGCTGGGTTCTAAATTCTTCACAGTGGGACGTTTTAGTAGAGTGTCATAAAATCCTATAAATGTTCATGAGAAGATTCTGGAGTTGACCCATTAATCCGGGTACCCAGTTGGCCCTTTCTGACCTGGTGAGTAGGAATAATTTCCTGAGAACATGCTCTCAGAATGATACAAATTAAGAGAACAGCTTAGACTCATGTGTGCTAATAAGACTTTCCTGTTAAAAAATATTTATTGGGCCCAGCATTGTGGTGTGACAGATAAAGCCGCCACCTGCAATGCCAGCATCCCATACAGCCACCGGTTCGAGTCCTGGCTGCTCCATTTTCAATCTAACTCCCTGATAATGTGCCTGGGAAAGCAGCAGCAGATGTCTCAAGTCCTCAGGCCCCTGTACCCACATGGGAGACCCAGAAGAAGCTCCTGGCTCTTGGCTTCAGCCTGGTCCAGCCTTGGCTGTTGCAGCCATGTGGGGAGTAAACCAGCAAATGGAAGACCTCTCTCTCTACCTGTGCCTCTCTGTAACTCTGCCTTTCAAATAAATAAAATAAATATTTTAAAAATTATGTATGTATTTGAAAAGCAGAGAGAGAGAAGATCTTCCATCTGCTGGTTTACTCCTCAAACGGTTGCAATGGCCAGGGCTGGGCCAGGCCAAAGCCAGGAGGCTGGAACTCCATATAGGTCTCCCACATGGATGGCATGGACCAAAACACTTGGGTCATCTTCTGCTGCTTTCCCAAGCATATTAGCAGGAAACTGGATTGGAAGTGGAGCAGTCGGGACTCAAACCAGCACTCTGATATGGGATGCCAGTATTTCAGGCACAGGTTTAACTCACTGCAACACAACACTGTCCCCCAAATTTTTCTTTTTTGAGTGAGAATTTTCTATTCTGCAACTCATAGTAACCACACTGGTATTTTCATAAGGACTGACCTTTGAAATACAACACTTCCAGAAAGAAACAAATCTCAGATGGCACAAGGAGGGAGATGCTTATTTCTAGTTCAGTATTTTTCAAAACAATCCCCACCTTGAGGAGGGAGCAATAGTGGCAACTGTGCCCAATCAGAAACAGAAGAATCTAGTCCTAGATCTGTTTGTCATTTACTATGTGATTTGTGATTCGTGAGTTTCTACTTTAATTTAAAATGAAGGAAAAGAATATCTAGCCTTTCTGGATTACAGGCTATTTAACAGTCAGAATCAAGTGATCTGTGTAAGTGGATAATGCCATGATTTAAAATGCTAATCAAATGTTTATTAATCCTCCCAGCTAACATTTATTAACTATTGACATAACTGACCCAGCATTATATCATATGTATTCAACTCATTTATTCATTACATGAATCCTGGAAAATAAGTACTATCATAGCCTCTTTATCCAGATCAGAAAACAGATACAGGGAGTTTCGATAACTTGTGCAAGGTTCTCACCTCAGTCACCAAATAGGAAAAAATAAACGTCAATTTAGAGAACCAAGAAACAGAGCCAAAATGAGAATCTGGAAAGGAGAAATCTGATATGTTTGTAAAGCATCATAGTAATCCTCAGAGGAGAGAATCAGAACACTTAGGAATTCTTACACGGATTTTTATGTTTTTGTGTTGTATTTTGAATTGTATGTGGGAAAAGGTACTATGTATTTCAGTACTTGGGGCACCTCAAAGCCTTGCCTTAGACTCAGAACTGATAAAGTCAAGATCTCAATACCAGTCGGTTGACGGCAAGGTCCATACTTGTAACTGCTAACTTGTACCCTGTCCTGGAATAATAGCATATGCTATTATTATTAGATAACACCTACCAACAATAATGGTAACTTTCAGGAGGAAGCAATGCCATTAAAGGAAGGCTTATTCTATTTTGAAAATATATAGGAAGCAACCCATAATTTGGAACTAAAAGCATAATTTGGAACAAAGAGATGGGTGCACAGCAAGGTCACTGGTTTTCTTATATATTTGTGGCTGGAAGGGGACCATTTAGGAGCCTTCTCATTGCTGGCAGCAAAATCACATTTCTCTAATGAATTGGGGCAAGTGGTTGAACAATTTTTAAGATCTTGGGCTACTTTGGTTTCTCTCACAACTCCCCTCCCCACAGCCTACATGATTTAAATAAGAAGCAATTAAAAAATCAGATCTATTAATTTTTAGTGAATTGAAGGATAGTAAGAATTCATGATAGCTGCTAAAATTGGCTTTTTAAAAATCCTCCTAGAAGACATCATACAAACATTTGTGTGCTTTAGTCTAAGAAAAGCCAAGGTATTGCCAACAGCGGTTAAGCTTTCTGGCTACCTGTTTTTGTTTTGGTGCCTTTTTTTTTTTTTTTTTTTGGAAGCAAATGGTAGACAAATGATTGAGTAGTGCTTTTTGTTTTAATTCCTTGGGGGAACTTACATACTATTTATGGGTATCCCTAAAATTCTGAAATCAGATATAGGGAAACCAAGAAGCAACACAGATACTTCTGGCTGATTTGTAAAGAAAATTTATTTTAGGTTAGCCTTGAAAGCATAATCATAGCTTGCAAGCCATTTAAAAGTTTTGGGCCACAAATTGGCAAATTTACTTTGAGATTGTTTCTCTGAAAGAAATAGCTCTTTGTCTTCTGGATATGTGTATCTTTGTTACTATGCTCATCTCTATGTAAATGATGTGAAAGACAAATTGTGAGAAAATTTGGGGATGTTGGAGTGTAGGATAGAGACGTTGCAAGATATCCACACTAGTGCAAAGTGCATATCTGAGCTCTTGCATCCATCATGTAACAGTGCAATGACAGAGGAAAGGTGCTTTGTTGAAGTGTTTTTCTTTCCATTCTAGGCACTTATAAGATCAGTGTTCAGGCCTCTTCCTGAGAGAAGTGAGAGATGAGAGGGGAAAGCTAAAAGATTATTTGAATGATCTCTTGACTACTAGGACTAATCTTTGAGAATCAAGGTAGACTTGTGTAAGTGAAAGGAAAAAATAAGCAAAGTCAACCAATGAATGAAATTCCAGTGTTAGTTTTCTCATTCGTGCCCAGACTTGATGTTGATCCATTCACACTTAGTAAACCTCCTATCTGCATCTCTGTACCTTCAATGGTACATGACTAAATGGCACCACAAAGTCCAGATCTCAAACTGACTATCCTGTGATTATCCACAACAATTCACACAACAGGGATAGTGCCCCTTCCTGCATGGCTTTTCATCTGCAGTGCCCCAGAAAGCCTATGTAAAGATCTCTGGTATGAGCCAGTCAGGCAATATTAGCTAAGGTTTGACAAAAAGTATGCAGTGCATAGTTAAGAAGTCTCCAGAAGTGCCCTGCACCAATCATGTCTGAAAGAATTAACATCTTCTCACACTAAAAATATCAAGAATGTAGGTTTCACTCAGCGTGTCATGATTTGGTGAGAGTAATAAGCAAAACTGCCATTTGGAAGTAAGAATGAGACAGTGAACGAGAATACAGCCACTGAGGGCCCAGTGTGTACCTGTAGGGTAATGTTCATTCACTGGCCAGTTGTCCACCTGGAGTGTGGCATTTCCACCGTTTCTGGTGAAGCGCACCACATGGTATTTGCCATCATTGACAGGGGTTCTCTCTTCTTTGATGGAGATATCAACTGTGCCGATGTTGAAGACAACTCCGATTTTCCCCTGCTCCTGTGAAAGGGAACACAAAAGGCATAGTTACCACCAACCACAAGGTTTTTCCCCTTTAAACTTGATCCTCCAACTAGCAATAAACCTGCAGGTGCCCAGAGGGAGCTGTCGGCATGAAGTTAATAATAGTATCCTATATTTCTCCATGGGCTTTCATCCTGAACATAAAAACCACTGGTATAAAGACACCCAAATTGCTCTCACAGGCTGAACTGCACGGGTTACATCATTCAATTGCCCTCAACAGATATCAAGTCTGGAATAGTAGAACTACCTAACAGATGCAGTGACACTGCAAAGTTCATTTCTACGGGATGGATTAGGTCTGTTTTCTAAGAGAAACTAAGACATTGGAACTTAAGTCATTTCACAATTCAGATTTGGGAGTAAAGAGGAATTATGAGCCTCCCTAAACATGCTGGGGCAAGCAAGGCAAGAGGAGCAGCAAAGGATGGTCAGGCACTGGCATTGAAGACAAATGCTGATGACACTCTCTGCAGATCCAAAGCACACAGGCAAAGTATCTTGTGTAGAGGTCGTGAATCTGAACTGGAGTTTCAGATTTAGGGGGCTGCCCTCACTTCCTCATTCCCAGCCCTGCTGTACATGATAATCCAAAGAGAGAAGTGCTGTTCATTGTAGCTCATGTTACAGAACAGAAGAAACTTTGTGGCCACAAAAGACTTGTAGGAAGGAAAATTGCAATGAATTTGTGACACTACGGCAATGATGATGATGTTTATGGAGATCATAGTGGCAGGAATGATGATGTCACCCACCTCCTGAGAAACGCCCTGACATGATGAGCCATAAATGACAATGACATTGAAACTCTTACTCTTCTTTTCCAGTAATTGGCTGTGACTAACAATTGGAATTTGTATTCACAGTGAAATATAAAATGAATGTATCCTTACTTATTAGATATAATCAGCCTTTTTTAACCTCTTGGAAAAGCATCACAGCATCGCAGGGTTTCTGGAGGGACAGACAAAGGAGAGGAAGGAGACATCTTTCTCCATTCTTCTAGTTGTCTAGTTTATTGGCAATAGATTGAGTAATAATGACTAATAAATTTTAGTTTCAATTCTAAAGTTCTATTAGGCTAAGTCAAAATTTTTGTTCACTAGATTTCATTATCCTCTACTTGCTTGTCCAAGAAGTAGGACAGGGAGATGTGAAACCAGGAAAAAGAGTGGGAAATGAGGGGGAGAAAGATATAGCTAAAGAAATAAAGAATTCATACATTTGTTAGGAAATATTCCATAGAATCTCAGATTTAGTAGTTTTCTTACTTATTTATTCATTTCATTTCTTCATTCAATGTATAAGTGAAATATTTATTAAGTATCTATTATGCTTAAAGTCTAAAAATTAAGATTTCAGGTTCGATGGGCACTGGTTTCCATATAACTTGGTATGTTTCACTTCTCAAAAAAACAAAATTTTCTCAACCTGACATTTGACTGTTAGTATGTGAATATAGCTTGTAACCAATAAAAGAATGGGTAAGAACCCAACAGTCTTGATCTTAAAAGAGTCTTAATCAACAGAGGGCATGGTCAGTATTCAAGGATGTTGAGATACAGGGTGGATAAAACTGTTAACTTTGTGCTCAGGTAGCAGAGCATGCAACATGTTCCATTCTCTGGGGAAAATGATCTGATGACCAAACACATCTGTGACATATTTTCTTTAATTTTTAATTTACTTTTTATTTGACAGGCAGATACACATACACATGCATATTCACACACACACACACACACAGACACACACACACACACAGATCTCTGATCCTCTGGTTCATTCCTCAAATGTTCATAATGGCTGAGATTAGGCTAATCTAAAGCCAAGAGCCAGTAACTCAATCCAGGTCTTCCGTGTGGGTGGCAGGGACCATGTACTTGAGCCATCACCTGCTGTCTACCAAGGTGAGCATTGGCCAAAACCTAGAATCAGAAGCAGAGCTAGATTGAAATCCTGGCACTCTGATACATGTTGTAGGCATCACAACTAGTATCTTAACTGCTCCACCAAACACCTATTTCCATACTCGTGGTTTCTCATGTCTCTGCTTATTGGGACACTATGGTCTCAGCTTTGTTTTGTCCCATTTATTTATCTTCATACTAAGTAAAGTACTCACAAAACATGAACACAGGGGCTAGCATTGTGGGGTAGTGAATAAAACAGCTGCCTGTGACACCGATATCCCATGTGGGTGCTGGTTTGTGTCCCAGCTGCTCCACTTCCACTCCAGCTCCCTACTAATGGCTTAGGCAGAGAAACTGAGGACGGCCTGAGTGTCTGGGCTCCTGTCACCTATGTGGGAAGCTGAAATGAAGCTCCTTGCTCCTGACTGCAGCCTGGCCCAGCACTCGCCTTTGTGGTCATCCGGGGCGTGAACCATCAGATGGAAGATCCTTCTTTCTGTCTTCCCCTTTCTCTCTCTGACTCAACTTTCAAATAAATAAATCAATCTTTAAGAAAGATATGATGTGTGCACAGGGCAGGCATGGTGGCATAGCAGGTTGAGCTTTATCCCATGTTGGAGTTCCGTTCAAATACTGCCTGCTCCATTTCCAATCCAGCTTCCAGTTTACGCAACTGGAAGGGCAGTACATAATGGCCCAGGTACTGGGGCCCCTGCCACCCACGTGGGAGATGCAGATGGAATTCCTGGCTCCTGGCTTTGAGCTGGGCCTGGCCTGACTATTGTGACCATTTGGGGAGCGAACCAGTGAATGGAAGGTTGATTCATCCATTCTGTATCTCTGTCTCTCTCTCTTTCTCTCTCTCTCACTCTCCCTTCTCTTCTTCCCTCTCCTCCTCCCCTTCCTCCTTTCTCTCTCTAGCTCTGGCTTTCAAACAAATAAACCCCTAAAGACATTTTAAAAATAAAACAATACATGGACAAATTAACCTGATTATGTATTCTCTCAGTCATTTCATGCCCTTCATTATAATATTACCAATTTTATCCTTTTTCTTTGATTTTCACAGAATTCAGAAATCACAATATGCCTTTTCTGCTTTATCTTGCAGAATACTCACTAATTTTAAGGGTGTATGTACGTGTGCATACGTGATGGCACCACAGTATCCGCAGGCCTAAATAAGCAAGGCTACAGTAACAAGTCATAACCTTTCTGGCAGAATGAAAGCAGTGGAAGAGTTAAGAAAGCACCACTGCAGGTGCCATTACTCCTCCACACACCCGTAAGAGTGGGCTGTTTATTGCACCAGCATTCTTCCATGAGCAACCACTACATAAATCCTGGATGCATAGAAGTTCTGCTGGTGATTCGAATCACCTCTGAGTCCCTAATTAATCATGGACAGAGAACAGTGTTAGGTGGAGAGAGGCGACCTTTAAACTAGCATTCCACAGCTGTTCAGCAAGAACAGTGGTAAAGTACATTTTAGGCTCAGTGAGTTGCCTGATGAGCAAGATATATTCTGGGGCAGATTTTCTGCAAGATCCATCATAGATTCAGGAAAAGAAAAGATTTAATCTCTGCCAGAATAAATATTTGGTCCTTATCTTGGGTGCCCCACATGTGCCATTGTAATCACTGCTTTGGAGAGATCTCCTTAATCCTGTTAGCAGACTGTCAAAGTCAGCGGAGACCCTAACTCAGATGTTTCATTTTGTTTCCCCACGGTGGTAAATGTGGCTCTGCTAGACCTCAGATGTGGTCTCTTTATTCGCAATAATAAGATTTCATTACTGCAATCTCTTTGTCATTTGTCATGGGACCGCAGTGGCATTATAATCTGTGGCTAACTGCTTTGTTTCAGTTCATTATAAGTCACAGAAACTTTGTGGCAAATACCCACATAGTTGCCCAGGCTTGAGTCCATCATAATCAGCTGCCATGAAAATAAACCCTGCTGGCTCATGTGTCTGGAGAAGAGAAGATAGGGGGAATAAAATGCTTGGCTTTGGAGCCTGCCCTGGCTGAACTTAGGAAAATCACTTAACTTTCCTGAACTAATTTTTTGAAAATACAGTATGGGGACAGTATACCAACCTCACAAACTTCAAAGTATTGTTATAGCGATGAAATCATATGGTTAATATGATGAATACAACAGCACTTTAAAAGGAATAAAACCATCATACAATTATGTGAGATGAGTGAGATCAGGAGAGGGAGTACCCCAATCATTTGGCCATATGTAAGAGTCTATATGGGTCAAATGACTAAATTGGATAAATGTAGATTTCAGTACTGCATGGTTCAAATAGTATCTCTGGCTTTGAAAGCTGAATGACCTTGGGCAGGTTATTTCCTTTCTGGTTTCCCTCCTGTAAAGGAAGGTGCAGGGGGAGAGGCAAACTGCTTGCTGTGAGGATTATAAGAGAGCACATATGCACCTGGCATGTGGTTTTGCACACCTTGGGGTGTTAATAAATGTCAGCGTTCTTTCCCTTCATTAATGTAATTGAAAGTAGTGAGATGAACTAAGGACTGGTAGCTTGAGGGACACTGTCATCAAGATATATTATAAAAATAAAGGTGAACTTTAGCAAACAGACTGTAAAAAGCAAAACAAAACAAAACACTGTGTTAATTTCTAGTCACAGTTTGCTAGTTGCTCTCTCCACACTCCTCGGTGCCTTTTATAAGCCTCTCTAATACAAGCAGAGTGTAGCTGCAAAAACAGCATGACCATAAATTTTAATAACTCCACGCCACCACCACTAAAGTTGCTACCAAGGCAATCGCTTCAATCTATGTTCTTCCTTGATATTAAAAACAAAGACAAGCAGTAAATCAGAAGACATTACCAAAGAATCCTCAAGTGCATCCAGGAAAACACACACACACACACACACACACAACAACTGAACACTACAGAAAACAGCTGTCTTTAAACAGCAGATCAGTCATTCCTCATCAATAATGACTGCTTTTGGGCCCACCTGGTTCCTTAAATTAGTCCACCTCCAGCTTTCTGATCCTCAATCAGCCACATCACAGTTATTTCTG